CTCTTTATTCCGTCCTGAGAGGGACACATTCCTGACCCAACCCTCCCCCTTAACAGCCACTCGATGCCTCTTGGAGGCCGTTACTAGATCCGCCCTGCTACATTAGCCGAAGTATTGCCCTTTCACGGATCCAGGCACCTGGCCAGTGGCCTCTCACCCTGCAAGTGGCGAGGCTGTGAACAGGGCAGCATATTTACCAGCACCTCTGCTCCGCTTTGCAGCCACAGCAGCTGTACAATGCCAGGGTGTCAAAGGTGGCAAGATCCATTTCCAGAACCCTGACACCCTACCCACCTAGGCTTCGGCCTCCCTCCTGTTCTCCTTCTTCACTGAATGGATTTCAACAGGCCTCACCAAGTTGATTTAAGTTGTTCAAATTGTCGAGGCAGCTGAGCAGTCTCTGAGGAACATGGAAACCATGTGAGGCTACAGACAGATCTGTTTCTCATAATGGTTGCATCTGTATCCTACAGAAGCCAAGTGTCTTCTTAACCTTACCTCTGAGAAATGAAACATGCAAGGCAGGAAGTTTCCACATGGTGTGGAAGATGAAGAATCCAGTTCTCTAGCCAATTTTGATAATTCACTTTTAATTTTAAGCCTTTTGTTTCATTCACATTTAACTACAAATATTTACATTCATCCTCTCTATAAGCTTCTTTTAAAAAGCAACAACAAACACAACCCCATTTTACATTTTCTGGTATTACATTTAGAGGATCTGGGGGGCAGGGGTTAAGGTGTAGCATTTGCCATATTGATATAGAATATTATAATTCAATATTTTATCTCCTTGGCCTTTATCACCTTGGAAGGGTTTCCCCCCCTTTCCTTACACACACAGAGTATATATTCTAAAGTGTGTGTAAGGAAAAGGTGGAAACCCAAATCTATTTTTACAGCGAACATTTCAATTTTCAATTCCCAAAATTTGTGCAAAGCTTTGCATCACATGGAATTTTTAGAGATCTGTAACATTATCTTGAAATTCTGCCTTTTCATATTTCAGCTGAATGATTCTGAGCACTCAAAAATGGGCAAATTAATCACCCCAGATCTACTAATGGAATCTCTATGGATTCCGGCAGGTATGAAATAATGCATCTAAGAGCCAAGAAGAAGAATTATCTCACTCCAAGAAGAGTAAAGCAAATGAATTCCTAAGTAAAAACTTCACCTTTTCTGACTTTCCATCACAGCTGTTGCAGAATGAGTTTGCTATTAAAAAATTGGAACACGACTGAAGCTGTGGCAGAGTGTTCTGAGGCACCATCCTTAAAAAAGCAACAACTTGAGGAATTGGTTAGCAGCTTTGGGTCACAGGAAGCTTCCTTAAACTGGCTGGTTGGTAATTGTGTGCAATGTTGTCTACTCAGGGGCCTGGAAATGGACTGGCAGCACCTTTTTAGGGCCCCAGGCAAGATGTGTTTCCAGTCACCTACTACCTGATCCTTGCCAAGGAGTGGAATATCTGCATGTGGTACATCCTAGAGCTATGGCTATTCGTAGCCAGGGGCATTCCCATCTCTGTGCCATTACTTCTGAAAGTTGTGGTGCCACACTTTGTCCATCTACAGCAGAAACCTTTGATATATTATCCTGTACTGTGCCCTCTTGCTATGGCTTCTGAGGTGATGCGCACACCAAATGAAGCACCAAAGACATGCAAGATATAAAACTTGTGGGAAAGCCTAGGAGAACTGATTTTACTGACGTTTGCAGACTAGACCAGAGTCTGATCTGCTGTAGTTCAACCTGGGAATAGGGTGCTAACAGACTCTACACTGGGCACAGGCTCTCCTTGACCATCTTGTGCCCGGCTATTCTCAACACACAAACAATCCCAGCTTAGAAACTATTTGGCACGTGTCAACAGCAAAAGAGAGAAAGCATACCCACATCCACTTTGGATTCATTCTACCATCACTTTTGCCTTTGGTCCCCGCAAAAGCTGGCATGCAATCCCTGGAAAGTAGGTCATAAGAGAATGGCACTGTTGAGTAGAAATATTTTCCTGGGGCTGCCTTAAAATTTGATGGGAAAACATGCTGGAGAGCTCAGTGGTTTAGGTATCTGGCTGCAGGCTGAGAGTTTGATTCCCCACTGTGCGTCCTATGCAGGAGATGGACTTGATGATCCATAGGATTCCTTTCAGCAGTTCTAAGGTGGTGGTGGTTGTTAGGTCAATGTGAGACTTCAAAATAACCAAGGATGATCTCTTGTTTCATGGAGTAGGGGTTTGGCAGTTAGTGGTGATGAAAGCCATAGAAATAGGATGTCTGGGCAATAAACAGATAGGTATATGTGTTTGTAACCCATTTGAAAGCCAGAGTGGTGGAGAATCCTCGTAAAAATGGAAGAAAGAACATGGCACAAGAGCAAGCAGGATGGGAATTGCGGGACATTCACCAAAGGTCATTTGTAGCAGGAGATATGTTTTGATGAAGTTAGTAGCTGTTTTATGAGGTGCTAACTGAAGTGTGAAGTGCATCAAGCACTTTCCAGAAGATAAACATACCTTAAGTGCAGCCTTCACAAGTGACTAGGAAAACCCTGTTTCCCCGAAAATAAGGCCTAACCTGAAAATAAGCCCTAGTATGATTTTTTCAGGATGCTCATAATATAAGCCCTGCCCCCCAAAATAAGCCCTAGTTAAGTAAAACCTCCCCCTCCACCCTTCTGCAGCAACCAGAAGAAGATGACATGACTGTATTTCAATAAATGTAGACATACATGAAAAAAAATAAAACATCCCCTGAAAATAAGCCCGAATACGTTTTTGGGAGCAAAAATTAATATACGTAAGACCCTGTTTTATTTTCTTGGAAACAACAACAATAAAACTTCTAGCAGACATTTAAGGTGGGAGCAATACAGTCAATATCTTATGAAGCATGGTCAACAGCTTTTGTTCTAGACCCCTTCTGATTTTATGTTCCCTACATTTCATAGTAAGGACATAGTCAATGAAGGCACAGGCTGAAGGTTGGACTATGAACCTGAACAAATTCAGATCTCCAGGGCCAGGTGAACTGCATCTAAGAGTACTGTAGGAATTGACTGAAGAACTCTCAGAACCACTGTCCATTATTTTCTTGAAATCATGGGAAATGGGTGAGGCGCCAGATGACTGGAAGAAGGCTAATTTTGTCCCTATCTTCAAAAAGGGCAAAAAAGAGGAACCTGGGAACTACATGCCAGTCAGCCTGACACCAATCCCAGGGAAAATTCTGGAACAAATTATAAAACAGTCACTATGCAAGCACCTAGAAAACAATGCAGTAATAACTAGAAGCCAATACAGATTTGTCAAGAATAAATCCTGGCAGACTAATCTGATCTTATTTTTTGATCGGTTAACTTCCCTGATAGACAGAGGGAATGCTATAGACATATCTTGACTTCAGCAAAGCTTTTGACAAAGTGCCCCATGATATCATGATGAGCAACTAGTTGTTGTGCTGGATAAAGTATCAGATGGATACACAATTGGGTACAGAAGGGGTCCCCAACCCCCGGTCTATGGGCTTCGCAGGACTAGGCCATGGAGACAGATCTCCTGCTGCACGTACGCATGGTGGGTGTGGTGCGCTGGCATGCATGCATGAGTGAGCGGGTGTGTTCATGGCTGGGCATGGTGTGCTCACGGGGGGATGGCGTGCTTGAGTGCATGCATGCGCACCCCACTCAACCATGAGCATGCCATGCCCAGCTGTGCATGCGAGCAAGCATGCCACGCCCACCCATGAGCACGATGGGTGCCCCCACCCCCCAACCAGTGCACAGTTCCACTGGCATGCATGCATGAGTGAGCGGGTGTGTTCATGGCTGGGCATGGTGTGCTCACGGGGGGATGGCGTGCTTGAGTGCATGCATGCGCACCCCACTCAACCATGAGCATGCCATGCCCAGCTGTGCATGCGAGCAAGCATGCCACGCCCACCCATGAGCACGATGGGTGCCCCCACCCCCCAACCAGTGCACAGTTCCAAAACGGTTGGCGTGCATGTGAGGAAGCATGCCACGCCCACCCGTGAGCACGATGGATGCCCCCGCTCCCCCACACACAGACCCCACCCCCCAACCAGTGCACAGTTCCAAAACGGTTGGGGCCATTGGGTTACAGAATCACCTACACAGGGTGATGATTAATGGTTCCTTCTCCAACTGAGAGGAAGTAAGAAGTGGGGTACCTCAAGGCTCAGTCCTGGGTCTGGTGCTCTTCAACATCTTTATTAATGACTTGGATGAAGGAGTGCACGGAATGCTTCTCACATTTGCGGATGACAGAAAATGGGGTGGAATAGGTAATACTCTGCAAGGCAGAAACAATCTTGATAAGCTGGAACACTGGGCTTAAAACAACAGAATGAAATTCAACAGGGATATGTGCAAAGAACTGCACCATGGAAAAAGAAACCAAATGCACAGTTATGGGAAAAGAAACCAAATGCACAGTTAGAAGATGGGGGATACCTCGCTGAGCAATACTACAAGCGAGAATGATCTTGGGATTGTCATAGATCACAGGCTGAATATGAGCCAAGAGTGGTTACAAAAAAGGCAAATGCTATTTTAGGCAGTATTAACAGAAGTTTAGTTTCCAAATCCCGCAAGGTGCAAGTTCCCCTCTATTCAGCAATGGTTAGGCCTCACCTTGATTATTGTGTCCAGTTCTAGACACCACACTTCAAGAAGGATGCTGACAAATCGGAAGAAGTTCAGAGGAGGGCAAGAAAGATAATCAGGGGGCTGGAATCCAAGCCCTATGAGGAAAGACTGAAAGAATTGGGCGTATTTAGCCTTGACAATAAAAAAGATGGGTCATGTGATAACACTTTTCAAATTCTTTAAAAGCTGTCATACAGAGGAGGGGCAGGATCTGTTCTCAGTCATCCCAGAGTGCAGGACATGCAACAATGGGCTCAAGTTACAGGAAGCCAGATTTCAACTGAATATCAGGAAAAACGGTTAGCGCAGTAAGATATTGGAACCAGTTACCTTGAGAGATGGTGAGTACTCCAACACTGGAGGCATTCAAGAGAAACTTAGACAACCATCTGGCAAATACCGTTTGATTTATGTTCCTGCATTAAGAAGGGGTTTGGCTTGATGGCCTTATAGCCCCCTTCCAACTTCACTATTATATGATTCTATGTGTAACAGGTTAGGGACATGATTCCTGCATTATCTTGCTCTCAGCAAAAAATTGAGGGAACCATCTTCAAATCTGGCAGTGAAATTTCTCTGCAAGATAATTAAAGGTGTTTGGTCAGAGATGCCATATTTTGGAGAAGCAGGCTCTTTAGAAGGGAAAGTAGGTTGCAGATGAGGTTGATAGCACCCAAGTGGGTATTCCGTGTAAAAGGAAGGTGCCATTCAAAAGAAACATTTGAGCATAATCAAAGATGGGTGAAAAATCATGCAGTTGTAACTTTATCATGTTAAAAACAATGTGGAGACTAGGAAAAAAATAAAGTCTACTGATGAGACGTTTGGGAAAAGTACTCTGGTAAAGAAAATAGCACAAGAAAATGGCTCATGTGTTTTTTTGCAGTACTATCACACAGCTAGCTGCTTCCAATATCAGGCAGGTTTTTATAGCTGGTGAACAGAATGTGCTATATGAGAGGGCCACTTTGATAGGCCTGTCTTGTAGAACTAAAACAAGGCCTTATAACAATTCAAAATCTGGCAAATATTCAAAATTTGAATTTAAAATTTCAAACTTTAATTTTGATTTTTAAGTGGCACTTTAAACTTTTAGGAAATATTACATCTTGGTTATATAAATTAAGCCAATATTCTTGAATATCAAATTACCCAATGAACTAGTCATTTTTTTCACCCATTTTCTTCTTTTCAGTGTTCACCAGCATGTATATTAGAGAATGCAGTACATTTTTACAATAACAGCAACATTTGTAAAAAGCAAAGGGAGAACCATACATTTCTAATCTTCTGCGGGCAGAATTCTCCATGACTCCACAATTTTCCCAGAACCTTCTTTTAACTGAGAGAGAAAAAATATTTTGAAACATCAGAAGTGACTTCGTGGTTGCTTCTAGAAATGTGCCCTGCAGACTGTTTGGGGAGAGTTAAAAACCAAAATGTTGTAAATTAATCAAAGGGAGTTTGTAGAAATCTGAATTTCTGCTGGCAGCTTTGCATTAGGACAGAGATGGAGAACGTGTTCCCCATCAATTGTTCTGGACACCAGCTCCCTTCATCTCATAGCATTGGCTGTGTTGGGAGGTGTACGTAATCTAGCAATATCTGAAGACACACATTCCCCTCCCCACCTCTACATTTGGAAAAATTGCTTGTTACTGTTTCCTTTGTCCCCCACCCCACCCCACATGTCTTCAAATTCCTTCCAGCTCTATTAGATCATCATTAGGGCTTTGTGGGAGCCACTTCTGCTCTCCATGGCCGGTCAAGGTAGTTGAGCACCCGACGTACAGGGCCACGCTTTAAAGGCTCCAGAGCCAGGAGGCTCTGTAACATGGCAACAGCGTCGCGAGAGAGTGGGCGCCAATGAAATGGCAGGTCTTCCTCCAAGCCAGACTGTTGCCATTCCACAAAGTCCTCAAAGAAAGAATCCTCAGGTACAGTCTTCTCCCAAGGGAAGTAGCCAGTGAGCAGGCAGAAGATGAGGACCCCGAGGGCCCAAGCATCCAGGCTGGCATCGATGGGCAGGCCAGGGGTATCGCCCGTGCCACGGCTCAACTCCGGCGCCGTGTAGGGGATGATCCCAGCCACCAGACGCAGCAGGGTGCCCTGGGGTCGAGTCAGGCCGAAATCTGTCAGTTTGATGCAGCGGCAATGGCGGTCGAAAAGAAGGATGTTCTCCGGCTTGACATCTCGGTACACAAGGCCCCGGCTGTGGATGAAGTCCAGAGCGCTCACCAGCTGCTTGGCACAGAGCTTAGCTGCTGGCTCAGGGATGCCAGCCTGGTGAGATAAGAGAATAGTATTTAAATAATAATAAGAGTTGCTTGCTTGCCTGTTGTCTTTTAGATTCCCCCACTGACATCTCTCCCTCCCTTTGTGATCTTTAACAAAACAGCAGGTCTCAATAGGCATTAAAACTGGAGGTGACTTTCCCTGCCTATGCATGAAGTCACCAAAGCAGTCCAAACTATGATACAGAAAATAAAGTATCATGAGTCCCTGCCCTACAGGTTTTGTTTTAACCTCCCCCCTTTTCCTGCCCCTCCCCATCATACCTTGGGCTTGATGATAGAGATAAGGTCTCTATGCAGGGCTGCCTCATAGAGAAAGCCATAGTGCTGGCTGGATTCTATGGCAATGCCAAACATCCCAACGATGGCAGGGTGTGCAGAGAGTGAAAGGGCCACACAATACTCATACAAGAAATTCTGCAGCTTGGTGCTAGCCTTCGGTAACAACTTGAGAGCCATGGGTGTCCCTGCAGGAGATTCGGAGAAACATAACATTGAGAGGTGACAGTCCATGATATCAGTAAATGTATTTAGTCAACAGACAAACATTGAATTCGACGAGTCTTGATTATCTTCCTCAAAGAGTCTGAAAATAAGGAACCGATTTCACCTCTCACAGTGAAAATACATGGTGTAAAATCTCCATAATGCTGAATTGCAAACATGTAAGCAGGGAATGGTGGGGTTTTTTAAATGAATTTGATTGTGATTTTTGCTGTCTTAGTTCTGTGGTCTCAGCTTGAATAGCGTCAGGGATGGAACCCCCAGGTCGTGAGCACAGTTTTGGCTGCAGTACAGCAGTTTAACCACTGTGCCACAAGGCTCCAAAAACCAATTAACAAAGTTGGCCCACAGAATCCATAGAATCAGTTGACATTATTTTTTAAAACCAAAGGCACATTGTTAGTAATAATAGTTTGCACAGTGGAATAAGATTGTCAGTCACAAACAATAAAAACTACATATCAGCAGTCGATAGTAGAAGCTGTAAAGCCTATATGAAACCAAAAAAGTCTTTCCATTACTGCTGTGTTTCTATTATTTTATTTCTTTTTTTTTCTGACTCAGTTTTTGTTCAGAAATCAATTGCCATTTTATATTTCAATTCCAACTTATATTTAACATATCTACTCTTCCTGCACTGCACAAGTACAGTTCTTTCCACTCCTACTAAATATGTCCTATATTGTACCATTATATCACTTCTCAGCATTGACCTGCAATAAAGAGAAAGTTGGGGCACAGTTACGCTATAAAGGTAAATCAAAAGATGGATCGGGGTTTTGAAGTGGGTTTAAAGTCACGTGGCAGTCACTTGGTTTGGGGGTTGGTGTGTGTGTCCTCTTGGAAGAACTTTTAATCCATTTTTAAACTATGTTGTATATTGGTCGAGGGGAATACATGGGCTTTTTAGAATCCTTGCATTTGAGGCTTTATCCTATGTCCACATGCCCCTGCACTCACTGCCTCTCACAGCCACTAGCCACTGCTGCTGTGGTGTTGTTTTTAATGTTTATTTCTTGCAATCTGGCATAGCGCTGGTTCAGTGTGACAGATAGAAAAATAAAATTAAAACAGGTTTCCTTGCAGCTCAACACACATGCATGGAGATGGAAACACACACTGGGGGTGGTAGAGAGGGGGCATTGGTGGCAAGAAGGAAGGTAAAACCCCTAATCCTGGCATCTATTACTTGAAAAACTCAACAGACACCATTTATGCTGACAGAGGCATTCACATATGCCAAAATGATTCAGAATAAATCAATTTCACAAACAATTCAACATAAATGACCTTAACGCAGTCAAATGAAATACCTCACTTTCCATTTAAAAAGCATGCTTCGAGGGGGGGGGGGAATCTTCACTTCCCTAAGCATCACATAGTTTGCATTTTTAAAATAAATTTCACACATGGTAAACCCAGTTCAAAAGCATGGTTTTTTGATGTAATCAGGCCCTAAGATTCCAATCTAATTTTTGTATTTCACAAACAATTCAACATAAATGACCTTCACACAGTCAAGTGAAATACCTCACTTTCCATTTAAAAAAACATGTTTCGAGGGGGGGAAAATCTTTACTTCCCTAAGCATCACGTAGTTTGCATTTTTAAAATCAATTTCAAACCTGGTAAACCCAGTTCAAAAACATGGTTGTTTTTTTATGTAACCAGGCCCTAAGATTCCAATCTAATTTTTGTCTAATTCTCTCTAAACCTGTTCATGAAGACATTTAAACACAGAAACGTCTAAAAACCCCAAATTTCCAAGACACTGAATTTATTTTCAGTGCTCAGTCTTATTCTTGTCCTTCATATGGCCAGTTATTGAGATGGATCTCTTGGATGCAGTTGCCAGACCACATAAAGCCTTTAATCCTTACCTCTCTTTCTATGAGTCACCAGAACCACCTGCCCATATTTCCCTTTCCCCAGTTCCTTGATGATTTTGTAGTGCTCAGTCACCTCCATGTGCACCAGATTCTGGGCCGTAATCTCCAACATGTCTTCTAGGAGAGCCTGGGCCTCCATGCCCAAGGTCAGATCCATGACGAAATCCTATAAGAAATCCAAAAGAATATAGCTGAAATGAATTGTATTGCACAGTGAAAGCATGGCAGAATTCAGGCCAATAAAATTGTTTTCGATGGAATAAAACTCATGGCAGTTCTCAGAATCTGATATAACCTGGAACGATGGCAGCATTTCTGTTCTAATTCATGAATGAAGAAACAAAGAAGCATCACAAATCCAAATTTTATAGTAGTTGGATATTGAGGTAGTCTGCTAGTCGTTAGGAAAACAAGAAACTAGCTGTATTCGCGAAGGCTTTCACAGCCGGGATCTAATGGTTGTTGTGGGTTTTTCGGACTCTTTGGCCATGTACTGAAGGTTGTTCTTTCTAACATGTCGACAGTCTCTGTGGCTGGCATCTTCAGAGGACTGGAGTCAGAATGCTGTCTGTGCTCTGGTGCAGTTTGTTTGGATAGTTGAGTATTTAAAGCTGTTGGTTCTTGCACGGTGTTTTTACCTTGTATGTACATACTGGGTTGATATATTGGGTCTGGAGGGAGGGCAGCTCCAATCTCCTGATGCCACGTCTATGAAAGGTCAATTCATAACTTTTGTTCCTCCATTGTCTTGCGCACACCGTGAACGTCCCTTGAATTTCCCCACAGGAAGACAGGATCACACAGAACTCCCATCCATTCCACAAGATTTGATACAGCTTAAGCCAGTACTGCTCTTCACTGGTGGAACTGTGCAACGCATGAAACTTTCTGTCAATGAGACACAAAGTTTTTTTGCTTTCCCTTTTTCATTTTCATTTTTATCTGTCTTGCACGCAATTACTATATTCGGTTTAGTGTCAAGGATCTGAAGAGTTAGTTTGTTGTGGGTTTTTCGGACTCTTTGGCCATGTACTGAAGGTTGTTCTTCCTAACATGTCGCCAGTCTCTGTGGCCGGCATCTTCAGAGGACAGCACTCTGTGCTCTCTGAAGCACTGTCCTCTGAAGATGCCGGCTACAGAGACTGGCGAAATGTTAGGAAGAACAACCTTCAGAACACGGCCAAAGAGTCCGAAAAACCCACAACAAACTAACTCTTCAGATCCTTGACACTAAACCGAATATAGTAATTGCGTGCAAGACAGATAAAAATGAAAATGAAAAAGGGAAAGCAAAAAAACTTTGTGTCTCATTGACAGAAAGTTTCATGCGTTGCACAGTTCCACCAGTAAAGAGCAGTATTGGCTTAAGCTGTGTCAAATCTTGTGGAATGGATGGGAGTTCTGTGTGATCCTGTCTTCCTGTGGGGAAATTCAAGGGACGTTCACGGTGTGCGCAAGACAATGGAGGAACAAAAGTTATGAATTGACCTTTCATAGACGTGGCATCAGGAGATTGGAGCTGCCCTCCCTCCAGACCCAATATATCAACCCAGTATGTACATACAAGGTAAAAACACCGTGCAAGAACTTAAAAGGTATTTTTTGTGAGGGTTTTCAACTGCAGTGGCAAAGTCTGGGGTGATTCCCAATAAAAGGTAGAACTTAAATCTCTAGAGACCTGCATCAATGTTCATGCAACTTTCATCAACAAAACAGTCAGATTCCATGCTGAGCACCATTTATTTTTCATTGCAAGCCACATTTCTGAGGCAGTGTTAGATGCCCCCCCCCAAAAAAATAGGAAGATGAGGCAGCTGAAAAGAACCCACATTCTTTCAACAACATCTCTGAAGTCTTCTTCGGTTGTCCTGCTGTCCAGCTGGAGGGGGCAGAAATGAAACTGGATGGCATCAGGAATCATAAAAGGGGAGGAACTCATTATCTCCCCCTGTAAAAAAATCTATACCTCTTAGGTGAATAGATATCATTCTCGATGTAGAAGAATCCTGACATTGGTTTCACCGCTTTGCTCCACCACAAAACTTTTGGGGCGGGGGCCGGCTTCCAATATTACATCTTTTCCGTTGCAATTCTAGATGTCCTGTAGGTTTCAAAAGCTCTATCACCATACACACATACATATCCTGTCATAATCTGTTGCTCCGTTTGTTGATTTCTGCTTGTTCTTTTTCCATTTCTAAATTTCGAAAAAATATGGGGAGAGAGGTTTGATTTTCTCCTTTTTCCAGGCATGTTGCTACCAGTTTCTGGCTTTCAGAGCAGATCTCAGCTGTCTGTCTGTGTTATTATTTTGATACACATACTCCACATCTTAAGGAGTCAACCTTTTGCTTCCGAGGCATGGATCTACTGTCAGTCTTATGTCTTTTCCCAGCATGTGTGAAATGTTTTATGGGACATGGAGAGTTCCTATTTAAATGGGAAGCAGAAGGGAAACGAGCTGGAACCAATCTCTTCCATATGGCAGTTCCTCTTGTTGTTGACGGCATCCTATATTCCACCCTGCACTCTCCAGTCCATTCCTGAATGCACATAAAAGAGCCACTAAACAAGGTCAATTTGTTACATAGCTCATAGCAAATTTTTGCTGTCGTGAAAAATTGCAAACTGGCCAGTAGACATGGGAGCTTTATATGCTGATCCCAGAGGATATGAATATGAAACTCCTCACCACAGGTGCCCCAACATTGTATTCTGGCTTCCTCAGAACCAACCTGGTCCACTCTCTGCTCCTCGCAGCCTGCACATCAGACAGTGGCAATACTGCACCAATCATGAACCTAGTCCCACTGGTGCTGTCCCACCTCTCCCCATTGCCAACCACTCTGACAAGGAGGTGGGAAGATGAGTCTCCCTGCTCAGCTGCTGAGCATTCAGCTGAGGGGAGAGGCAAGGCAGTGCCCGTGAGACTACATCCACAATTGGTGCAATGTTGCCACTGTCTTATGTGCACACTGTGAGAAGCTTGGAGTGGACCAGGCTGGTTCTAGGGGGCAGGAATGGACCACCTCCCATGCTGAGTTTCACATCTGTACCCCTGGGATACAAATACAAAGCTCCTGTGTCTACTGGGCATTATTTCCTTGCTTGCTTTGTTTTGGTTGTCTTTTAACTGCCAGGCTACTGTGGTTTTTTGCCCTATATGTCAAGATGTTTTGCCTACCTTGGGCATTGTGCACCTTGAATGGGAGGAGCCCCACAGGCAGTAAAGTGTCTTGGTAGATTCTGGCATTGAGCAGGCTCCTAAAACATCAGAGTCAGGCAAGAATCAGGATGTAAACCCTCACTGGCTCTTCCACCTGTGGAAGAAGAGGAACTGCTACACTATTCTCCTTGCCAATGAGGACCGTCAAGGATTTTACAGGGGCTTCTCCGTAATGAGAACACTTTGCACACACCAAACCTCTTCCTTTTTTTGCGGACAAGTGAAAAGACACCACGTGGGGGATTGGGTTACATAGGAAATAACAGTGGATTGGATCTGGATTTAGGATCATGCAAGTGGAGTTGTAGAAGCAGACTTGTTTCTCTAATTTTCTCTGATGCCATTCCCTCCAGTCATCCCCAAAATGGTTACTTTCATGTTTCCCTGAAAATAAGACAGGTCTGATATGAATTTTTGCTCAAAAAAACACATTAGGGCTTATTTTCAGGGGATGTTTTATTCTACAGTCGTGTCATCTTCTTCTGGTTGCTGCACAATAGTGGAGGGCGGGGTTTCACTTAACTGGGGCTTATTTGGGGGGTAGGGGTTATATTGTGAGCGTCCTGAAAAATCATACTAGGGCTTATTTTCAGGTTAGGTCTTATTTTCGGGGAAACAGGGTATCTAATTCGAGCAATAATTTTCATGGTTTATTTCCACCTTCTGAATCTCTAGAACTGAGCTGGGAAACCTGTGGTCTTCTAGACACTGATTAACTACTATTCTCACCATCTCTCATCATTGATTGGATGGATAAAGACTAATAGGAAGAGGGGAGTCCAGTAACCACTGGATATCCAAAGGCTTATCAGCTGTGCTAGGGTCCAGAGGGTCCAGATACAAATTTGTACAGAAGCTCTTTCATTCCATTGTTCTTTGTTATACAATTATGTTGGTGAAATATTGTAGATAAAATATTTTGACATGCATACCACTTCCCATAGGAGTGTAATGAAACTGTCAGTGAGGTACAATCGCATTGCTAAATTTGGAAAAGTCTAATTATTCAAGTTAATTTCTTGTTGTTTAGTCATTAAGTCGTGTCCAACTCTCCGTGAAACCATGGATCAGAGCACACCAGGCCCTCCTATTTTCCACTGTTAATTTCTAAAAGTGACTTAATGCAGTTCCCAGAATTCTCCAGCTAGTATGGCCATTGCCATACTGGGAGTGGTCTGCCAAAGAATTAATTGTGCACATGTTTTGTATTTTTTTTTTACCCTGGGTCCTAAATGTTTCTGTTTTCCCCATGCATCCTCTTTTAGAATGCAGGGGGGCTATTCCCATGCTTTGTATTGATTATGAAGTAAAAGATATCTCCTGTCCTAAGCCTTAGGTAGGTTTTGAAGGTAAAGAAATAAAAATAAAAATTCATTTCTCCTTTACTAAGGGTGCCATTGCACTGACAATAAGAACTGCTTTTGAATCAGGTTTTGCATATTAAAAATGGCTTGAAAAATCCTGACTACATGACACATGGTGAAGCCTGCTCTTTTTTTCTTTCCTTTTCTTTTCTTTTCTTTTCTTATCTTTTCTTATCTTTTCTTTCTTTCTTTCTTTCTTTCTTTCTTTCTTTCTTTCTTTCTTTCTTTCTTTCTTTCTTTCTTTCTTTCTTTCTTTCTTTCTTTCTTTCTTTCACCTCAAATCAAAGTATGTTTTAAGAAAATCAAAGGTTATTTTAAGAGCCCAGCAGGGGCATTTTAATTTAACACATTGATTCTTCATGAATCATTTCGGGCAAGGTGAAAGCCACTGTTGTATTAAATGCTGCCAATGGAACATCACTGTTTTGCTAAGTCACTTTACTTTAAAAAAAATACAGAGAACTACGTGCATACCAAAGGATGTCTGAAAACTGAAGAAATATTGCACAACATTGAAAATAAATGGGAAGGTAAGGTTCCAATCATTGGCAATGTGCCAAGATCAATGACAAGGGG